TCATGAGGAGATGCTGAGTAGATTTGCCCTGTGCCCATTGGAATTTAGAAGAATGAGAGGCAACCTTATTGAAACATACCAGATTCTTAATGGACTTGACACGATAGATGCGGAAAAGTTGTTTCTACTTGTGAAAGAGCCTAGGACTGGAGGGTGTAATCCCAGAAAAAGGGGTGGAACATTTAAAATTGAGATGAGGAGGAATTACACCTCTCAGAGGTTAGGTGTTTCAGGTCTTCTCCTGAAACCCAACTTCCTGCTCATCATCAAGTATAAGATCCCACAGAGGTAGCACTTCCATCCTTTCACCATCGTATTAAGGTATCGCACATGAGGAACTTGCTTCCTGGATTTAGCCTACAGGTCTGATTGCGTCTGCCAACACCTAAGTTTCCAATGTTCCCAGAACAGATTCAGCCCCCTGCCCCCCAGTTTCAACTCCTTCACCATCTGCTTCATCTCAGCCAGGTGCCTTTCAACCTAATCTGCCACGACTCGATGCCTGTGCTGTGGAATCTGCAAACTACGCCAGATATGTAACATATGAATGACCTAAAGATTGTGTGGCAACTATTATTTGTTCCATTGACTTTTTTTTAAACTTACTTGTGGGACATGGGTGTTGCTGCTTGACAGCATTTATTGCCTGTCCATAGTTGCTGTTGAAAAGGTGGTGGTGAGCTGCCTTCTTGAACCACTGCAGTTCATGTGCTGTAAGTAGACCTACAATAGGGAGGGGTTTCAGGATTTTGACAACAAAGGAATGACAAAATATTTCCAAGTCACAATTGTGAGTGTCTTGGAGAGGAATCTGCAGGTGGTAGTGTTCCCATATATCTGCTGCCCTTGTCCTTCTACATAGAAGTGGTCATGCATTTGGAAGGTGCTGAATAAGGAGTCTTGGTGAATTTCTGCAGTGCATCTTGTAGCTAGGACTCAATGCTACTGTATGTTGGCGGCAGAGGAAGTGTATGCCTGTGGATGCAGTGCAAATCAAGTGGGCTACTTTGTCCTGGATGGTGTACAGCTTCTTGATTGTTGTCAGAGTTGCACCCACACAGAGAAGTGCCTGGTAGATGGTGAACAGGCTTTGGGGAATCAGGAGGTGAGTTACTCGCCGCAGTATTCCTAGCCTCTGACCTGCTGTTTTGCCACTGTCTTTATGTGGTGAGTCCAGTTGAGTTTCTGGTCAATGATAATCCCCTGGATGTTGATAGTGAGGAATTCAGTGATGGGAACATCATTGAATGTCAAGAGGCGATGGTTAGATTGTCTCTTATTGTGATGGCATAGCCTAGCATTTGTGAGGTGCGAATGTTGCTTGCCACTTCTCAGCCTAAGCCTGGATATTGTCCAAATCCTTTTGCATTTGGACGTGGACAGCTTCAATGTCTGACGAGTCGCAAATGGTCCTGAACATTGTGCAATCATCAGTGAGCATTCCCAATTCTGACCTTGTCATGGAGGGAAGGTCATTGATGAAGCAGCTGAAGATGGATGCTACCTTGACAAACTCCTGTAGAAATGTCCTGGAGCTCAGTTGACTAATCTCCAACAACCACAACCATGTGCTAGGTATGACTCCAAACAGCAGACAGTTTGCCTCCTGATACCCACTGATTCCAGTTTTGCAAGAAAAACTGTTTTCCTTGATGCCACACTCAGTCAAAAATGGCTTTGATGTCAAGGACTGACACTCTTACCTCACCTCTGGAATTCAGCTCTTTTGTCCATGTTTGAATGAAGGCTGTAATGAGGTCAGGAGCTGAGTGGCCCTGGCAGAACCCAAACTGGGCGTCACTGAGCAGGTTATTGCTGAGCAGGTGCTGCTTGATAGCACTGTTGATGGCACCTTCTATCACTTTACTGATGATCGAGAGTAGACTGATGGGGCAGTAATTGACTGGGTTGGATTTGTTCTACTTTTTGTGTATAGAATACACCTGAGCAATTTTCCACATTGACGAATCAATGCCAGTGTTATAACTGTACTGGAAGAGTTTGGCTGGGGAAGCAGCTGGTCCTGGAGCACAAGTCTTCAGTACTATTGCCGGAATGTTGCCAGGGCCCGTAGCCTTTGCAGGATTCAGTGATCAATTGTTTCTTGACATCATTTCAGGTCATTACAATGATGAGGGAAAAATAAGTTTGTAAAAGTAAATATTTACAGTATTTGCATGGAATGAAGACTGTGGTTTAGATTGGAGTAGATTTGTAGCTCGGTTGTGGGTGTTGAGGTTGGTTGACTCGCCAAGCTGGTTTGTTGTTTTGCAGACGTTTCATT